CCAAACCTCAAGTAGAATCTGCAAACTCAGACTCATTTGCAGAATTTGTCTCCAGTTTGAATGTTTCAATGACGTCTGTAAATTCAGATCCATTCAACAAATATGCTTCAAACTCTACAGGTAAAATTGTAATTATACGACAGCATGATGTTAACACTGTGGCTCCTTTAAATCTATAATCTATAATCTGTCAACATGTGGTTTTGTTTTTCCTCATCTCTCCAGCAGATGTCACCCTAACGTCATGTTTTCCAGCTCCACTCAGAGAAGAGGCAGAGATACAAGAATCCAATGTTTATAATGTAGATACATTTATATAATATCTTTACAATGGAATCCATCTGTCATACAAGATAACCAGAAGAAAAAAAAATAGCACACAATACAGTCAATAAAACAAACCTATAGAACATATGATTGTCACTTACTGCGAGTCACAAAGAAATTACATACCGTGAATAAATAATCTACAGAAATATGTACAATATGCACAACGAGAATTCAATGGAAGTGCAAATAAAGCTTTGGATCCCTGCACAGGAGAAAGGGAAAGCAGATGTAGACTGAGCCAGCTGTCCCCAACGAACAGTGATGAAGCAATAATCATCTAGAAGTCATCAATTTACAGGACATTTAGTAACATTTAGGCTTTGAGCTCCTGCATTTAATGACTTTTTTAAAAATGAAGAAGCTGAGCAAAAAAAAAACAAAAAAAACTGAAGAATAAAAAGAACACATTTCATTATGTACAGTGTTTCGCATTCCACAGAAAACTGGATTCGATGCTCGTCGAGCATCAAGGCAACATCCACGGGAACCACAGGCGGCGGAGAGAGACGGAAACGGAGAGAGATCCAGAGAAGAGGCGACTCACTGCAGAAAAAAACAAACCCCATTGTGCTCCTGCTGGCTCCCTCAGCCGGTAATGACAGATACAGGCTGCGGTTTATTTAAACGCTGTACAACTCTCGTCTCCTTCCCATTTATACCAACTGAAGACCAGGAGAAGAAAAGAGCTGGTTGTGTGGTTGGTAACTCGCTCACACACACTCTTAGCACAATGCACACATGTAACGTCCCGAGCTTTAAGTCTCTGGTGGGTTCATTAGCTCCGAGTTACCCGGTGTTCAAGTACTCCAGCGCCACTTCATAGCAGAACTTGTACTGGTCCTAGAAGACGAGATCAAACAGAGAAACATAAATGAAGAGCAGCGGGTCACTTATTAACCTCCTCCTCTCTGTGCAGTTTCTGGCCTGAGGCTCGCTGCATGGTAATTTGCTCAAAATACATATTATTTTAGCCAAATGAATCATACAAACACAATATGAACTGAAATAATGGTTTTAAACTGCATTTGGACAGTGGACACCACTTCAACACACATTAAGTCGGCTGATATTCCGCTGTAGTGGTGCATATTTTCAAAATATCAAAATTAGACTTGATCGAATTACAAGAAGGCATTTGCATCACAGTGAAGCTCAGGCCCTCAGGCTTTGTTAATGTAGACTCGGAGAAATAAATGTTTATTAGAATAATTGTAAAAAAAGCTACTTGCAGTACGGCTGCGCAATAAAACTATCAATAACTATCCCAATACCGTTTTTTTTATCAATAGCAGTATAACAAAAGTTCAATGTGTGTAGTGAGTTCATGCATTTTGCAAGCACAGGGAGGACAGAGAATACATGATCCACCTCAGATCCCTAAAATATTTATCAAGTGTTTGTTGTTCTCTGCTCATAAAGACGAGTTTAAATCCACAGAAACATTAAAATGTCACATTTACTGTGATCATCAACTGATATGAAAATGTTTATCTTGATCCAGTCCCAACTTGCAGATATCTTTATGTTTATCTCTTTGTTTTCTTATATCCTCATTGAATAGAGGAAAGAGAAAAGCTGACAGAAAATGAAAGGAGAGAGAAAGCGTTAATACAAAGGTCAAAGGCCAGAAGCAAAAACTCTGATTGTTATTTAGCATGTGTCACTGTCAGGACGTAATAATAAACTGTTGAAAGGGCTCCTCACCAGTAGATCCACCATGTTGGGTTTATTGTTCCTCAGTGTTTTGACGGCGTGGAAAACATCCACAGAGCGCTGGTGCTGGAGCATCTCACACACAATGCTGATGGCACAAAACGTTCCACTGCGACCACCTCCGTTCCTACAGACGAGACGGAAGAGTCAAGCGTTAGAAACTTAATCAGATTTCAGTTTGATATAGAACGTTGAGGCTCACAGTGAGAGGTTCAGGTTTTATCTCGATGCAGTAAAGCTCTTCTGTCAATAGGTGGAGATGTTTCATTTTTAATGTCCCAGCTGACTAAACCTCCTCCTGCAGAGTGTTGAGGAAACTTACAGACAGTGGACCACAGTGCGTCCCTCGCCCCCGTCGTACTCCTCCTGCCACTTGTCCACCTGTCGGATCAGCTTGAGGAAGGATCGCTTGGACATGGGCGTGTCCCTGTACATGGGCCAGCCCAGGAACTGGAACTGCTGCACCATCCGGTAGCCGTCCTGAGGCTGAAGGACAGGGGGAAGAGGACACACCGGTTATCCCAGGTTAACACACAAACACACAGACGAGGGGGGGGGGTTAATCGCTGCTGTGCAGAGATACAATCAGGCTGTCGGGACGCGGGGGCTGAGCTAAGCCTCGATGGCGACAAGTAGGACGAGAGATGGATAAGGCCACGAAGAGATGGAGGAGCAGACGGATGAGGGTGATAGATGAGCACAGTCATTGCTGGAGAGAGAGTTGAGCAGACACAGACCATCTGAATCACACTCAGACATATTGATCAATAACACTTGTCAGTGATCATGTGTGATTACACTGGACTGCACTTAACGTGCCCGCGGTGCCCCTGCAGGTCAGAGGATGGTACGACACGGTAAGTGAGGAGCGATTATTGGCAACCTGAGACAGACTGTTGAGGTAAGGAGCTTACAGAGGTGATGCCGGCCTGGGTCAGAACCGTGTCCGTACAGTGATGACGAGAAGTTTCTAAAGAATATGTTGTGTAGCTGAGGAAACAGTGTCGTCACAGCAGAGAGGTTTGGTTTTATTATTTATGTCCATCTCTGAGAAGTGTATTAACTTTGGAAATATAAAAATGTTTGGAAACTTCTCGCTCCAGAATAATAATAGATCGTCAACAATGTTCATTTGTTGTTTCCAGTAGTTCCAGTGAAACAGTTATGTGGATTATCTCGAGCAGTGGTTCCCAACCAGGAGGTCAGGTCTCCGCATGGGGTCCCAGGATAAATGTGATGGGTCACAGGACGATTAAAAGGATGAGACCAACAACAAAAAAAAACATATGCTGCGTTTCTTTTTCTGCCTAATCCTTCTTTACACTGATATCAAATACTTTGATTCTATGAAAGTTGATTCAAGTTAAACAATCTTACGAGGAAAGGCCAATGAAAGCTTGAACCTCTGATCAGGATCAAAAAGTTAGAAAGAGTCCATCAGCTGATCCAGAGCAAAGGTTCCTTTTGACCTTTGTCCCCTCAAAGTGCTGTATGTTAAAATACACAGGTTCAATATGTCTGTAGTTTCCTGTGAGTGTTTAAAACGGTGTTTTTCTACTTATTTGTCGTAAAAGTGCAGTTGTGTGAACATGAATTTGGGAAAAGTCAGAAAAGTATACATCATTTTGAATAAAATATATTTTCAATATATTCCCCAATAATCCTCTGTTCAGCTTGAATTGAGCGTCAGGCTTATGAGTGGGACGTGAGCAGTCCCAGAATAAAGTGGCTGTTGGGAGGAAGTTTCCAAAAAATAAGTAGCAGGACAGAAAGTTTTCTGTGTGAAGCGAGACTCTGTGTCACCGTACCCGCGCTGCGTTGTAGATCCGAAATATTCTGCTGATGATGTCCTCCTCCAGGTCGGCAGAGACAAACTCCACCTGGATGGGTCCATGTCGGTGGACTCCGTTTTCTGGCCAGTACTGTGGGCACAACTAAACAAAAGAGGCACGTACACACACACACACACACACACACA